AACGCCATCGAATATAGTAATATTACTGCTTGCATGGATAAACGCGGTATACATTTGATTGCATCAATAGTAAAATTTAAAAATTTGTTATTAATAGCATGAAAAAATGCTCTCATGATTAGAATGCGTAATGCACAGTTGTCACAATTAACATTTCAGATGTGAGAATCATAATTTGCATTCATTGCGAAACACGGCCATTTTTCTCGGAACATCGCATGACCGGCGATGAAGCAATCGCGTTCGATCGCGATCGAACGAAAAAGATTCTCGTGCACCTAACTGTTGCAAGTGACAATTACTATAATTTGGAAGAATACTTCCTGTCGACTTACAGTACATGCAATTGCGATGATTGGTTCTGTATGGTGTATTACCATCATCGCGGCAATATGCTCGATAAATATAATAACAATTTGTACGGAATATTCGATTTAAGATATTATACATATATATTGCTTTTCTCATTTATTATTAAATATTATTATGAATATTATAACTCATAGTGGTTCTCGACAATCATTGCCTGTCAAAATAGGCATGACGCTTAATGCGTCATTTTATTATGCGACATCAAAATTTAAATATATAATATCTCAATGTAAAAGAATTGTCCATCGTTAAAAAAAGTAAACATGATAATAAATAAAAATAAAAATAAATAAAAATGAATATTAGGACATTCAATTTAAAACTTATTAAAATTTATCAAGAAATCTTAGCGTTTCTTACTTGTTGAGATGTTTAAATAAAATTAACGTTTATATATAAAACGCACTTGAGAAAAGAAATATATTCGGCCTTTTATATTTCAAATAAATTAAAATCCGACGAGAGAAGAAGAGAGAAGAGAGGGAGAGATATCAGAGAGCGCAAGTGTTTGTACTTTCCGCCAGCGGCGCGTCTACGTCTCTCCATCAAGTACTTTTTCGCGTTTCAATTGCCATCATCGTCTACCTCCGAGAAGCGTCTTCATCCGCTAATTGAATCAATGTTGCCGGACGAGCGCTATGCGCTCGGGTATCCTCTCATTTCCCGCTTATCCCGCGGCTTTTCATCGCGGCTGTTCTCCGCGTTTGGAAGGCGGATATCGCGGTTGTCGTTTATGCCCGACGGGCGTTAAGATTAAGGCAGCGATCTCGCCAAGTGCCCGGGAGGCCGTCTCTTACGACGGCGGCTTGCTGTGAAACCGTACGCCGATTCTCGATGACGCTTTGCGCCATCATTCTACAACCCCGTGGCGAACCATAAGCGACCGCCGGACTTCGTAAGAATCGCGGCGAGATATCCGCCTCCTCCGCAGACAAGGCTCTGTACATTGAACGAGATCTCAAGGGTTGTGTCTATCTCGAAGATCGCGATAAGGGACATTCTTTTAAAGAAACAAGTTTTAACATTCCTGCGTTTGGACATCGATCTGACGATACAGATTGTAGACTGAAAATATGTTGGAGAAGAGAAAGTCTTATTAAAGAAATGAGAACTTTTTACAATGAGATTTGTTTCATGGCAAATGCGGTCCTGTCTCTGTGGACAGCGTTAAAAATTCACGGGTACCTAATGATATTCTTATGCGTTTAATATAGTTAATTGAACAGAGTTTCGCGAGATATTTGGCCTCGCAGCAGGTCTATTATTCGAATTACATGACTGCCTCTCGAGTGAAGGCTGCGAATTCCGTACATTTTTCTGGGTCTCATGGAAAGGATAATATTATTATTGGTGGATATAAACGTAAAAAGCCTTGCATTGTTATTTGTGTATCGAAAGAATAAAAATATAATAAAATTCTAGAATTAATATCATAATGATTTTAAAAAATCTTGTGCGAGCTTGTGAGATTCGCTAGTTTCAAAATTTTTTTATTCTTTCAATTGCAAGTATGTGAAATAATCGTTAATCTCTCCAATTTAATTAGGCACGCGTTTGGCTAATGTTTTGGTTTTTAGAAACTCGTCTAACTTGTTCTAAAGTTACCATCATATAAGTTTATACATATAATTACAAAACTTTTATTTACTGCGATTTGCGGTAATCGCAGTAAATAAAAGTCTATCTAATTTAAAATAAACTCCGAGAAAAGCTATAAAACGAAACCCTCATCGCCCGCTAAGCTTTCACTATGTGACAAACACGTCTTAAATCCCGATTAGGAGAGTCGTGAGAAAATTGCATCGCATTACAACGGCAATGGAAAACGCATCGATGCATATTATCATGATCGTATCTATGTAGCTGCGAAAACATGCACGCGGATTCATTCTGTATTGTCCCGTCGAGATACATTTCCTCCGAATCGTGCTCGTGCTTGTTTTTTTCCTATTTTCGCGGTTGCGATCAGAGAAGCGCTTGATCCCTTCAGCGAGTGCGACACAATGAAATTGGATTAAAGTTGTGCCCTTGGTAGTCTTCTCCTTCTCTCTCCTCGCAGCGACGCGACAGCCGAGAGCGAGAGAGGAGTTTTAACGATCTACCGCCGTACAAATTGTCGAGATGCTATCATCTCTCAGCGGGAAGAGAGAACGGGAGTAGGAGATGCAGATAGAGAAAGAGAAAGAGAGAAGCAGATAAAGGGAGAAGGAAGGCAGAGCAGAGAAGCAGGCAGGGAGAGAGGAGAAGATGCGAGGGAAGATTAGGGCGGCATCTCCCCATGGCGAGGTCGGTAACAGAAACTGCTGTTGGTGATGTTCCTGATGCCGCGCTGCAGTTGCTGCCGCCGCATTTCGCTGCACTACCTCTCCTCCCGGCTTCCCTCGTATCTGACACGATTCGTACGTTGAGGATTCTCAACAGTAAATTACAAAATATGCTAAGCGGCCGATATAAATCAAAAGTGGGGCCCGCGCGCGTCCGTAGATCCCCGAGGGGTGAGAGAGTCCTTTACCCGTTGTCTCCGTCTCCTGGATTCTACGGCGCAAGGGGTAAGGGATTCCTCCGCGTTCTCCATAGCCAACCAGGCCCAAAATATACGGAGAGAGACCCCCATCACGAATCGGGAACGAGGGAGAAAGGCTCTTTCTCTCCTTCTCGTGCGGCGTGGTGGTGCAGTTTGCAAACCGAGCAAATGGACCGGAAGACTCGAACGCGAGATATAAATAGGCCCGACTGGAGAGCAATATATCTACCCAACTAAACTCCGCTAAATTGCTTCGGTGTAATGCAAAAGAGAGCGATATAGAATCGCGCGAGCGGAGAGACAGAGAGAGAATGAAAATCCCCATTTATCGATGGCACGCTGCGCACTCATTTAAGCACGAGAGATTTATGGAATATCGATAAACTCCTAAAGAATTGTGATTACTGTTCCTTCGAACTATAAGTATAGCCCGCGTAAATGGGCCGTGCACGATCCGTCTCACTTTGTGCCGCGTCTTCTCGTGGCGTTAACGATTTTATAATTTGCATTGGCATACATCACGTTAAAAAAAATATCTAATTAACTCTTCTGGCTTTATTCGGCGTGGATTTTGTCTATTCCATATTATATGCTGAGAGGAAATAACATAAGCATATTGCATCAGTGTTAAAATGATGCATGTTCCTTTCTACGTTTGTTTCACTATTAAGATAACGAAAATATACATCCGCGCTTGGTGGAATACGAATTATCTAATTAACGCGTCAAACGTCTCTCGGTGCCGACTGATTTTACACGCGATTGTCCCGCGTAATCAGCCCCCGGTAACGAATTACGCTCACCGCGAGCACTCAATTACGCGGTCGAGACTATTAATCGAGATACGGCGAAACACGAATAGCTAATAACGCGCGCCCGACGAGCCTCGCCGAGAGTGTTCGCTACATCGGGACACGGGACTCTATCTGCGGATCTACGCTAATCGAGTCCTCTGGATGCACCCGCTGTACATAGTCGTCACGCACACGCACGTGTTTATGGATGAGCCACGTATGAGCGGCCACGTGCACGCGCGCTTTTAAATTAAATGCATCGAGCGAAGAAGAGCCGCGTGCGAGTGCATAAAATTACGTGCGTTACATGCGAGAACGCTGCGAGAGATGCTTTTACACGATTACTGCCAAGGCCACCAATTTTCAAAGGCTCCGCGAATAATAATATAATTTTCTCCATATGTATTTCTTTTGTATATGAATTATATTTTTTATATGTACATAATTGTGCAATAATTCTCTAGTCATAATATAAGAAAGTTACAGGCTGGAATACAAAGAGAGGTAATCATAATACTTAAAAATTATTTATAAATCACAAATAATTCTGCAGTAATGCAGAATCATTTTAAGATTTTAAAATTTTGTAGAAAATTGTTTTATTGCAAAAGATCAAAATTATATATTATAGCATTGCAATTGTTCCCCACTATCATTGATTTGAAATATTTGTATGCATGAAAATAAAACATCATTTTTAATTTAATTTAAAGCTATTTTTCGGCGAATAAATTTTGTCCGGAAAAGTCAATTTGTTCAGTCAATCTTAATGCGGATCTCGAGAACGTGAATATTCTTGAATTATTTAAATGCGCGAGGAGAGCCGAGCGAAATCTTCCTGCATTTGTAAGAGCATGATTATATTCCGTGGATAGAACCGTGGAAAATCGTGATTTTTTCCTTGCCTCGCGTATGATTACGAAGCTTACACGCGCGGATGAGAATCTAAAATAGTGAGATAGAGCGAAGCATACGCGAAGTTACGAAGCAGAAGAGTGTATTGCGTAAAGCGTGCATAATAATGGCCGTTGTCTTCAGCTAATTTTTGCTCAAGCTTAATTTACATTTTCAAGCTTTGCTTTTTAAGCGTTATAACGTTTGATGAGAAATAAAAAAGATACATCTTCCCACCTTCATGAACGATTAAAAAAACAATAATAATTTTAAACTACATGTAACAAGAGAAACAAAGACGAGATGATGTTATTAAGATCGAAGATTGTCTCTTAGATCTTTTTCCGGTTCACGGATCGGTCACGGATCGGTCACGGATCACGCTAAAATTTGTAAAATATAGAATCAGTACTCACGTGGACCAGAGCTCGTGCGTGGGCGGCAACTTGACATCCGCAGCCGTTTTCTCGGGCAGTTTGTAATATTCGTAGACGTAGGACGCGCCAGGGTCATCGCCATGGCTGGCTACCGCCGACACCTGATGCTGCTGCTGGAGATTTAGCATGGCAGCGGTCGCTACCGAGAGCGGGTGCTCGCAGTAGGCGCGCCAGTCGCCCTCCATACCCTGCACCTGCACCTGCACCGCGACTCTTTTGTGCACTTCCGGATCGGCGTCTTCGGCACCGCTCTGCAGGGACTGTGCCGCTGCCTGAGCCGCCGCCTCCTCCGCTCCCAATTCCTCCTCTTCTTCCGGTTCACGCTGTCCGGATACGTAGTCCTGCTGCTGTTGCGCGTTGTCACTGACGACGGTGCCGTTTGTATCCTCCTCGCTGCGACTGCGTCGTCTGTAATCGAGCGAAACAATCTGTTTAATTGTTGTTGAAAATATAGGCAAAATAAGGGTAATTTGCAAATAATAATGGACGGATATCCTTGATTGAGATTATTTCAGTAAATATAAACATTACCTCCCATTCACAAGTATATTGAGATGGATAGTACTACTGGATACAAAATATAATCATATATCAGTTAGCTCTAGGAAATGTATATAAAGAATATAATTATATAGATTGTTTCGTAAAAATATTATTTTAGAAATCATGATTGCAGTGAATCATCTGATGGCAATATTTTATAAGTCCATCGGGAAAGTATATTGCGGTCGACAATACTCATCGAGGAGTTAACTTTTGCTAGATGTTGTGACGATCATAAGCGACACTACGTGAAAAAACTAAAAAAAATTTTTCTCGAGGTAAAGACTGCAATAATGAATGCGCCGCAGGATAACAGTTAGAAATAAGTGAGCCCGGTAGAATGTAATAAATTACAACGGACCCATCGAATTTATCAATTAACGATAATCGCGGAGCATAATGATTCCTCAATTTAGCAATGACCACCAGCGGTGAAAACGCGTCGTGTGCGACGCATGGTTGTGCCGATAATTTATCGCTTACATCGCGATACCTAATCGCGCTATGCGAGCTTGACAGAGAAAGAGAGAGAGAGTATGTACGACGAGTTTTCGACTCCATACTTAGCCACTGGGATATTTGTCACTGGTCGTTACTTTCCGAAGTAATACCTTCCGGCTGCGTACCCGAAACGTTGAGATTTATGGGAGTACGCAAGACGGGAACAATTTTGCAAAAAAATATCCGACGATGTGATGTTTCTAAGAGTATTTTACTAAATAAATAAATTTGAGTCACATTTTGAAAAATTAGAAAACTTTTTGTTTTTTGCGCCAGTGACGAGTAATTAAAAATAATTGATTCGCATAAATAAAAAATGTATATACATATATATATATATATATATATATATATATTTTATTTCATTTTAATATATATTGTAAAAAATATATAAAAATATATGTAAATAATATTAGTGTAAAATTATATACTATAAATAGGGCTATAAATAATGAAAAAAATGTTATACATTATTTATTGTATAACTTTACATTTATTGATGTATTTTTCAAATCAACTGAGATAATTTTATTCATCATAGTTTTTATTTCAAAGTCTACATCTTTTGACACTTAGACCTTTCTCGCAGTACGCATATCACCTGTTTCTCCCGTGCGACGGGGATAAACTTAATCGCGAATCGGGAAAGAAATCTCGCGCGTTGCCACCGCGGGTCGGAGCAGATGACGACGAGACGGGCGACGAAGAACGAGGAGGGAGGGTTACGTCGTAAATACGTATACACGCATGAAGATTAATTATTATAAACCCCTGTCTGTTGCCTGCAGTCATCAATTTATACTCTTCTCTCTCGTGCATCCCAATTCCAATCCCGATCCCGATCCCGTGAGTCGCACTACGGAATAAAGGCTCATCCTCTCTAATTTATGCATGTCGAATCAATCTCCCTCCTTCTACCCTTCTTTCCTCCGTCTCTCTCTCTCTCTCTCTTTCTTTCTCCCTCATGCTACCTACGTCTTTTACTTCTTCTACGATCTTCCTCACGCACCTGGACAACCGTCGCCCCTGAGAGAGAAGGACCAGCCACCCCGATAATGAGGGCCCGAGTTATCCTGTGCAAATATTTTCCTCGACGGCTGTTTGTACAGGCACGAACGGGCCCGGAGATCCGATCATTGAACGCGCGCATCGCGAACATGCATACATATATATACGTAAGTTTTTGTGCAAAGAAATCTCGAGCGCGCGAGTGTGGTAGTCGATTCCGTAGCTGCGATTCTGCATAATACCTACTCGTCCAGACAATGAATTTATGCGTGATCATCCGGGCGAAAACTTCATTCCGAACGAAATGCAAACATAGATTTCACGGCGATGAAATACCGCGCCGCGAACGCGATGCTATTCCTCTTGTCTGTGCAATCTTCATTCTGTCCGCTATCATCCTACGTTTCACTTGAGAATTTTCTTTCCACTACATTAACAGTATTCGTTGATCATGTGCGTGGCGTGAAACTATTCTTCGAGAACATTTCTCACCGTCACTCGATCAAATTTTATGGCTCAGCATTAGTAGTAAATTCTTACGTTTCTTTACAAACTTATACATGGAATATTAATTACAATCACATATCTTCGAGTCACAGACTCAAATAAATTTGAATCTCCTAGAGTAATAACTAATGATCGAAATCGTTGTAATTTTAATAAGTTACTTTTTGATGTAAATACGGAAAAATATATTTCTTACGTTTCTTATCAAATAAATATTAAAATCATTATTGTCATTAAATTTGAACTCATCAAAATTATGATTTCCTCCCATTTATCATAATTTTATTTTGTAATAATGTCACGTTTACATATATTTATCTGCGTTTATTTCTGAGATTCGATATAAATCTTGCTATTTTGTTTCTCTTTCTACTATATTCTTGCTTGAGGGATTTAATCCCAAGTGTCTGATAAATGCTTTAATAATAATAGCTTTAATAATAATAACTTATGATACGCAGCATAATTGATAACCGACGTGTACGCAATGCCACAAATAATCGGGCAAAATACTCGACACAAGATCGATCCCTTATTAAGGTATTTCAAGCGAATCCGACATAATAATGCACGAGACCCTATAATTTTATCTCGCGGGAGCCTTTGGAGACAACATTGGCGCAAGAAATGCTTTCGCCGATGGGCTCTGCGTTCCTCGCTGTGCGAGAAAAAGCGAGATTCCGCGTACAATGCGACGTGAAAAAGCTCTGAATCGAGATAGATGCTCGTACATTGATGACCGAATTTTGGAATAATGAGAGCACGTATCGCGTTGCATTGCATGCCGCTTGTGAACGTGACTGGTATATCTCTTAGACAGGTAACACGAGAAAAAGATTAAAAGGGAATGAGCGAAAGATCATAAGACGAAAGAGCAAGAGAGAGATAGAGAGAGAGGGAAATGAAAAAAGGAGAAAAAAAGGGAGAGAGAGAGAGAGAGAACGAACATACGTCGTTCGACGAGGATACAATCTAAGGATACTTCGCGTATATGCTAGGCTGGTAGATACATATGTAAATTGCGAGTACCCCTATTACAGGAGAGAGAACTTCACCTGCGCATCCGGTTTTCGCGTGTGCTTTGATTTCGTCCCCGTACGTCACGTCCTTCTTCCCGTCCATTTTTTTGCTCGTATCGCGCGCATACCACTTTTCTATAACGTTAAATCATAGCCGATTTCATTAAAATCCTCGGGATGAGTAATTGCTGGTGTATCGGGTGCGGCTACCGCCACGAAGAACATGTCCGTGTTTAGTCGGCGATATATCTTGGAAATTAAGGTTTGTGTCCCGATCGATATCGCGCTGTTGCATCTTAAATATTGCGTAATTTCGACGATGTCGATGATTTCGAGACTGATCTTTGATGTCGTTTTATCTTCAACGATGTAATACGGCTTCATAGTAATTATATCGCAGCTGTTGAGAAAGACTATAATTTGTCATAACTCATTAAATACTACTTGTTTGATACGTCTGGAAATAGGCAAATATAATCTCTCTAGAATTAAATCGAGAATCAGAGCTTTACCGTATTGAGAAAAAGTCAATTTTTTTTAATTCATCAAAGTCCCTGAGATATCTTTGACAGTTTTTGCACATGCGTTCTTGCGTATTTAGAATAACATAGTTATATTTAGCGAATAAACGGGGAATGGTGCAAATAATCTATTTTACAATGGTTACGATGGTTCGTTTGCATTATGATAGGTAAAACTTTATTGCAGCAATATGAGGCGTACAACGAAAGAGACACGGGGATTATTCTCAACGAAATCACATCGATTTCTTCCCGTCAGTTGTTGTAACTAATAGAAAAGACTATCAGCAATATCAGCCAACATCTTCTGAGTATAATCTTGGGGATATAAGTCACATTTCTTATCATTAAATTTATCTATCATATCTTCTTGACACTTCGAGATCATTAACATATGATTGATATTATTATAATATACCTCAAGATTTTTAATGTTGTAGGGAGAGAAAGAAATACAAGTATAGATAATAGTATTATAAATGAATATTATTATAAATAAATAAATATTAATAAAAATTAAATATTAAATAAAAATTAATATTATTATAAATAAATAATATTATTATAATTAATATTATTATAAATTAGTATTATGAATTAATATTGTTTTGTTTAAGAATTCAAATCAGAGATTAACATTTTTGAATAATTAATCTGAATAATTAAATTATTATTATTTCTTTTTTTTAAGTTCTCGCGATGACGTAAACTTCGGCAATAACTTGTTTATTACATATATTATACAATTTTATAATTCTATATTATATACATAAATAAAATTATTTTATTTTATACACATAAAATATGTGATTATATTGTGACAATTTTATAGTCTTGACGTTATTTAAAAAAATAGTTATCGACAACAACAGTATTAACATAATTTTACATAAACATGTTTTGTATACGATGCTACACGATATTTGTGCATCTCTCGTATATGTATAACCAACGTATATGTATATTTCCTAAAAAAAAATATGAATCCGTTATTCATGCTATACGCATCGGCATTTTCGATTGAATGGAAATCTGTTCAATCAGATTCGTGCCGTTATTAGGATCATTCATCTTGAATAGTGGTGATCGTGTACTCTCCGACAGTTCGTCCATAAACACAGGAACGTAGGGACTCCCTTTATACGTGTCTCTTGAACGCGCTTCATATGATCGTCGGACGGTAGAATACATTAGGATGCGCTGGCATGACATGACTCGCAGTCATGCACCTACCTCAATACGCAAATGATGCAGGTAGGTGAAACGCATCGAAGTAAAGTTCGGCCGAGATAAAGGCGGTCCTCGACAG